AAGCTCCTAAACCTGCTGAAGCAGCGAAGGCTCCGGAACCTCCTGCTCCAGTAGAACCCGAGATCCCGCCACCTCCACTTCCTCCACCTGCCATTCCGCCAGGTTCTGGGTCGGACTCAGGAGAGGACGTGACATCAGAACGTCAGAAGCAACTCATCAAGGAGGCCTCTTCAATGGCACACAAGTTGACGCATATCCCTAAGAATCCCTACTGTGAGATATGTCAGCGAAGCCGCATGTATCGACAAAGAGTCACCAAGAAGCGTGCAGAGCCTCTCGAAGACAGAGGTGACTTGCCTCCTGCTGAACAGTTTGGCGAGAGGATTGCAACAGACTATATAATCCCTTCGAAGCGTGAGCATGCAGTCCATGTCATCAGGGATGAATATAGTGGTGCACTGCGAGCTTTTGTCTGTGCGCGCACAGCTGAGAGAGCAGCTCAGAACCTCCTTACCTTTGTAGGCGCCCGATACAAGCACCTCCCGAACGTGTTGTGTAAGGCTGATGATGCAAAGGAGTTAATAGCTGCCGTCTCACAAATAGGATGGGTGCATGAAGCGACCCTAGAAAACAGATTTCCACACAACGCCCAACTTGAGAGAGAGATAAGAACTCTCGAGGAATCGACTCGCGCGGTGCATTTGGCTGCTGGGTTCCATGTGGTTCCAGATCTGTGGCATGTGTCCGTGCAGTTTGCCGCGCAGACTTTGACAGTTGTACCGTGGCAGGGCAAAGACAAGTCGCGTTTCGAGGTTGCAACTGGTTCCCCATTCGAAGGCCCAAGGCTTCCCTTGGGACAGTTGGTGCATTACAGGATCCATGACCCCAGCCGCAGGCATAAGTTCGAAGCTACAACTGCTCCCGGACTATTTGCAGGTTGGAGGTTTGAGCACGGATTTGTGTATCGTGACGTGATCTGGGTGCTAGACTATGAAGCCGTCAAGTCCAAGTCGATTGGGTATAGGGACATGATCCCCGTGCCATATGCGGAAGTGCATGTCCCAGAGACTGAGACCTTCCCGCTAAAGGCCGCGGCGGATCTTGCTCTTCGCGAGTTCCAGGATCCCAAACTTGAGGCTATCACAGCGCTGGACATACCATTCAGCTCACTGTCCCCTGCTGATCCTCCTCGAAGGCGCGCAGAGTACATTACGCTTGAACGCATTCTTAAGTTCGGTGCCACACCAGGATGCAAAGCGTGCACTTTCGATTCCGTGAAGCATAGTCCTAAATGCCGAGCAAGATTCGATGCCCTGATAAAGGCTGATAGGATTGCGTTGACGTCCAAGCCCCCTGAGCCAGTTCCTCCAGCTGAGCTCCCCGAAGGCGTTGGTCTCCACCCTTCGAGTGAGCCCGCTGTAGAAGGTCTTGTTGCGAAGGTCGAGCTCGGTGTGACGCAAGTCTTTGTCGATGTCAACAGGGAAAGAGTCCGCCAAAGAAAGGTGCAAACGCTCATAGGCAAGGATGTGTTGTTCGAATATGCGTGTGGCGACAGTTCAGAGCTTTCGCAAGCTGCGTCCGAAATTGGCATCAACAGTATCCGCTTATGCCGAAGCATGATTGATTTGTCCAACGAAGAACATGTCAAACAAGTTCAAGGTCAGGTCGAAGCATCGCCAGGTTGTGATGTGTGGCTCTCATTGCCGTGCACCGAGTTCAGTCCGTGGCAGAACATGAACGTCCATAGGCATGGGGCGAAGTACGGAAAGGGTCTTCGGAATCGCCAAGAGAAGAGCAAGCTTATGTTCTTGTATGCCCGCAAGGTACTCGCAACTGCCATCGCAAATCATGGAAGGATCGCAGTCGAGTGGCCCAAAGGGTCCGGCTGGTGGGATCTCCCTGAATGGAAAGAATTTCAGGATGAACATGGTCTACACAAAGTGTCTTTTGATGGCTGCATGGCTGGAGTGAAGGGCCGAGAGCATCCAATCCGCAAGCCCTGGAGCGTAGCCACTAATGATCTGCGACTTGTTCAATTTCTTGGACAACTGCAATGTGACGGTAGCCACCAGCACGAGGCCGCCGAAGGCTCACAAACAAAGCAGACTGAAGCATACCCACGAGAGCTCGCTCACAACATCGTCGAAGCGTGGTATCCGCAACGGTACCATCGCCACATCCCCTCCATGGTCACGAAGAACTTAACAAAGCGGGAATGGAAAGCAGACCCGCGCGGAGTTGCAGCCGTGAAGAAGGAGGCAGAAGGGTTACGTTCTAACGGAACGTGGGATGATTTGACAGTCTGTCTTTTGTCTTCCTTGCGTGCCGATGCAAAACGGCAAAACCGTAAACTCAAAATTGCAGAGCTTCTCACATTATGTGGGATAAAACATTTCGAACTCCCTGAGCATGAACACAAGTTCAAAGGGAGAATCGTGTACAGGGGGGACTGCATTTTTGACCAGTTCGGAAACCATGTTCTTTTTGAAGACGTGGCTACCACACCAACTTCCTTGGTTGCCCTTAACATCGCATTGTTTTTCGGCTGCCAAGATGGAAACGCAGTGAGCCTTGCAGATGCCATTCAGGCATTTCTTCAAGCTGACCTCGCTGAGGCAGGAGAGCCCGACACATGGGTTATCCTCCCCGAGGAGCTGTGGTTGGACACATGGCACAAAGCGTACCCATCAGGGTCGAAGTTGGTGGTAAGGTTGAAGCGAAGCTTATATGGCCATCCGCTTGCTGGCAAACTATGGCAGAAACACCTAGCCTCTGTTCTCACTTCCTTTGGTGGCATTGAGATGGATTTGTTTCCTTCAAACTTCATCTTTCAAATGGGTTCCCATACCCTGCTACTTAACGTGTATGTAGATGACCTAACGTTGTCGGGAGCAAAGCATCTTCATGCACAGTTTTGGAAAAGGCTGAGAGCGCATATCAAGCTGGAAGACGAATGTTACATCGAAGCCTCGAATGCACGGATCCTTGGCAGAGGTCACCGAATCCAACGAGGCAGTGACTTCACAACTCTTGTGCTTGATATGTCTGCTTTCGCAGAGCAGGTCGTCGAGGCGTACTGCGAGCTTGCTGATGTCCCAAAGGCAAAGCTCCGTAACGTCACAACCCCAAGTTTGTCCGAGGCGTTAATGTCAGATGAGGACCTGCAGCAACCCGGCACACTGAGCCATGTAGCTGCAAAGGTACTTATGAAAGCACTTTGGCTGGGTCGGTTGGCTCGCCCTGATCTGTGTTTCATAATCGGTCGGTTAGCGTCACGAGTGGCCGCGTGGACTAAATGGGAAGACAAGCAGTTACTTCGCCTGATTTCGTATCTTCACGGTACAACAGGCTTATGTTTAGCTGCTACTGTGAACCATCACGAAGCTCCCCAGATCCACATCTTCACTGACAGTGATTTCGCCTCTTGTCCGCATAGTGCAAAATCGACGAGCGGGATCTACATGACTATAGGGTCAACAGATTTCCGCTTTCCGCTGTGGTGGGCATCTAAGAAACAGACGAGTGTTGCAAGAAGCACTCCCGAGGCTGAGGCCATAGCAATGGCTTCCGCCATGTTTGGTGAGGCTTTGAACATTCAGGTCATGATGGAGCATCTCCTCGGTCGTGCTATCGACGTCGTATTCCATCAAGACAACGAGACCTTGCTCAAAGTCCTGGCTACAGGCTATTCGGCGAAGCTGAGACACTGCAATCGAGTCCACAGGGTCAACATTGCATCAATGTCTGAACAGCTAGAGTCGCCACAAGTCACTGCCGTGTACTGCAAGAGCGAATCTCAGATAGCTAATGGCCTAACAAAAGTCATTCCACCTGCAGAATGGCCACATACTCTCGCACAGTTTGGCTTGACAGCATCCAGCGATGGACCCCACCTGGAAACTGCCGTCGCCGCACTTGCAGAGGCAAATCTTGCCGCAGAAGTCTTCGCAGGCAGTTGCCCAAAGGTCCCGACTTGTCAGCATCTGGTGCAGCTACTGACGCTGTTACCTCATGGTCCTGATAAGAGGGGGGCACCGGGGCACGACTCGCATGTATTTTCTGCGGGCGCATTTGTCTTAGGAGGAGTGTTTGGCCTGCAGACAAACACACACAAATTTCAATATGCAACGGCGTTGATATGTCGATTCTTTCGACGTTATATGCCATCACACAAGTTCTCAAGCATAATCGTGCAGCAAGGTGTAGTCGCGGGGCTCCACCGAGACTCCAACAATGCAGAAGGCTCAAAGAACCTCCTTGTAGCGTTAAATCCAACAAGTGGACCCATATTGTGGGTAGAAGATGAGGAAGGGACTGTCCAATGTCCAAACGACGACAGCCTATGGGGTCACATGTTGTGTAACCCTGCACTCTTCAATCCCAGAGCACGCCACTGCACAGTCCTGACAGGATGTGAGGCTTCAGAACGAATCGTTGCCATAGCATTCCTGATCAGAAATGCCGAGCGCTTGAGTCCTTCAGACCGCGCAACACTACTGAGCGCAGGTTTCAACCTGCCCTCAATCTGCTAGTCCAGTCTCACCGTTCTGTCTCCTAAAGGGGGGAGTTAACTAAACTGGCCCCAAACCACCGTTTAGCTGTACATACCAAGTAGGGTTAGGAGAGCAGATTCGGATGACTGATTGTATTTGGCTCAAGGAAAATAGGCGTGCCCGTTGTGCGTCTTTCCTTGTCTTAAGTACCTTTGTTGTACTTAACTCTTTGTGGGAAATTACCTATCAGAAGGGTTATGGCGTCCTTTTTTGATATAGGGGTACCGTGGTTTGGGAAATACCCACATGGGCAGTCATCCAAATTAGGGTTCCTTTTGGATCCTTATTATGTTGGTGCCGTACCATCTACCGTCTGCAGGAATAAAAACCCGGAACCCCAAACCCCAAACCTTAAACCTTAAACCCTACATCCTAAACCCTAAACCCTAAACCCTGAACCCTAAACCCTAAACCCGAAACCCTAAACCCTGAACCCTACACCCTAGTTAGAGAACGACCCATATACCTAGAGCCCTTGAAGCTGGACAAGCACCCTTGTGCGCTGAGGGCCTCGACTCTGGGTGTTGGGAGCCTGGCTTGCGCTGAAGATCTTCAGGGGTTTCGGTTTTAGGGTTTAGGGTTTTAGAGGTTTAGGGTTGAGGGCTAGAGGTTTAGGGTTTAGGGCTAGTGGTTTTGGGTTGGAGGGCTCAGGGTTTTAGGGCTTTTGGGGTTTTGGGCGTGACGAGGTGCGTCACAAGGGCCGTTCCATGCTTGTGAAGGCACCTGGGTGAGGTTTTGGATTTCCTTCGGGTAGACAGGACTCGAAGCAGACGAAACATACGGCATGGGCACATGTACGTAGAGCAACAAGCGTGGCACAAAGAAGTAGGTCCATGCCTCTTCATACATCTTCCGACATGGATATGCAGATCTTGGCATCCTTCGATTTCCCTTCGGCCCAAGCTTTCCGCTATCTGCGGCGATTGAACAACCAAGTGCAAAGATGAAGCCGGTCCAAACCCTCTCGCATCCAGCGGTATTTGTCCTTAAGCCCTAAAACCCCGACAATGATGGCCTTCAGAAGTTGGAAGCTACTTCGCCCACGTAGGGCAGGCAACTCCTTGCTTCCTGCGCCCAAAGCCCCCTGGAAACCCAGTTGTAACGACACCCTGAAGATTGGATACCCAACCGCTATGTAGGACCTGGGGATCTTTTGTATTCTTCCCTTAATCGGCTAAAGAGGATCCTATCTAGGAAGATATCTCTCAAGGGCCCACCTGGCAACTCAACAACCAGGCTGTGTGAGGCGTTGTCCTGAAGGACTTCGTTCAAAAGGAAAAGGCCTTTCCTGCCCCGCCGGCTTCGCGCCATGGCGAAAAAGGGCGTGGCAAAGGCAAAAGATGCGCAGGCAAGTGGGCTCGGGGGTTTTAGGGAACAGTCCTTGATGGGGATTTTCGTAGGGGGTACTATAATATCCCTATTAAGGACAGTGTATCAGGGGGAATCTCCCAAGGCCCAAGGTTTGGGGCTTAGGCACCCCCCCGAGCATCGCAAAGAGCGACTGCTTTAGTGGCCGCAGTGGACGCGCTTCTGGTTTGGAGTTTTATCGGGTTCACTGTGGGGGCTTTGTAGGGTAGCAGCAGGGGGGTTCATTAGAGCCTTGTAGGAATCAGTCGGGGTGCATCAGGGTCTTGCAGGAATCAGTAGGGGGGGTGTATAGGGGTTGACGAGGCTTATTGAGGAGGGACTGCTTCCTTGCCAGGGGCGAGCGACGGCCAAAAAGGCCGATCTCACCCCCACAGGCTGGGGGTCTAAGAGGGCCCGAGGCTTCGACTTCAGGGGGCGTAGGGTAATTTTTTGGTTTGGGGTTCAGGGTTTAGGGTATAGGGTTCCCAGACCCCTGGGAGGATCCAAAAAATGGATCCCCTTAAGGGTTCCTAAGAATGGCCCAATGGTAGTACAGGGTGCTAGGGGTTCTATTATTTTGGATCCTCCCAGAGGTCCGGGTTCAGGGTTTAGGGTTAATTTGTTTATCACAAGGCCTCCGGCCCCCCTTTTTCCCAGGATCCCCTCAGAGTTTGAGGGTACCCGGACAAGAGGTGGCTTTGGGGTTGCATCTTGGGATGTTCACCCTTGATACTAACAGTACTAGCAGTCCTTCTTTGGGATTATAGTACTCCCTATATAGTCCCTTTAGCATTAAGGACTGTTCGTATAGGGGAGGAACATCCCAAGTTGCCTCGTTTTCAACATATCGGGGAGGAGGCTGGGGGCTGAAGGTCTCAAGTGGCAAGGAGTGGGCCCAAAGCACGGCCTACCTCCCCGAAACCCAACTCGTCATGAGCCGGAAACCCTAAACCCTAAACCCTAAACCCTAAACCCTAGACCCTAAACCCTAAACCCTAAACCCCAAACCCCTAAACCCTAAACCCATGAGGCCCTCCTGAATCCTAAAGCATACCAAGGGGGGGGAGTTCAGAGCCGACGGAAGGGTGGCGAGGCATGGTCCTCTCCGCCGCGGCTATCCTGCTGCCGCCGCTGCTGGCCGTGTTCCTCCTCCCAGAGCGCACGCAGGCAACAGGGCCTTTGGGGCTTCTGCAAGGCCTTCCAGGGTTTTAGGGGCTTTTTGGTTTTTTTTAAGGGCTGGTATAGGGTTTACTGTAGGGCTTTAGGGGCTTCGGTTCTTTTGCACCATTCTTCGCGGAGTGTGCCAGATGGAAGGATACGTCGGGCATTGGGGTTCCAAAATTGTTTACCTCAGAATCCTTGTCCTCGTCCTCTTGTCTTCGTGCAGGAGTTGTTTTTTTGGATTCAAGCCAGGCAGTCACACGAACATGAGCTGAGGTCATGTAGAGTCTGTAGAGTCGCGGGAGATGTGCGCCCTTTTGCAGTCCCCAACTGCGCCGGGCGACGACGGGGGCCCGCTGCCGCCGCTGCCGGCGGATCTCTGGCCACCACAGTGCCCAGAGGTGCCAAAGAACGACAGCTCCTTGGCGAATCATCGACGTCCCGGTTTCGACTGTCTCGGTGATCGTTCTGCATGCAACACTTTGTTTGAAAAAGTTCGGCTGCAGTGGGGAGTTGAGGTTCAGATCTTGCCGGTGCCTCAGCGGGCGGGCACTCTCACATCATGCGCTTCCCGCCTTTTCCGTCGTGTGGTGTTTGGAAACTTCTCCGAAGTACAGTAGTCGACAGAACCCTGAACCCTAAACCCTAAGCCCTAAGCCCGAAGCCCGAAACCCGAAACCCTAACCTGCAACTGAGGTCTCGCGCCTCGGCCGCACGATCCAAGATCCTCTGGCCGAAGCCCGAAATCCTAAACCCCCCCCCTCCTCAGGGTTATCAGGGCTTCCTCCCTCAGGGCTTAGGGTTTAGGGTTTCGGGTTTAGGGTTTAGGGTTTAGGGTCCTCTCTAGCCAAGCCAAGGCTCATAATCCCCTACTACAAGGAGGAGTGGTTTCGGATCGAGACCACCATGCGCAGCATCCTGAGACATACCGACGTCCGGCTCCTGAAGGATGCTATGGTTTAGGGTTTAGGGTTTAGGGTTTAGGGTTGAGGGTTTAGGGTTTAGGGTTTAGGGACCCTTACTATCGACCCCCAAATAGTAGGATCCCCTCCCCTTATAGGAAGGACCCCAAGAAGGTACCCCTCTAATATCGTAATCCCCCACTCCTGAAGACCTGCTTGAGGGTTTGGGGTTGGGTTGAGGGCTTTTGGTCTGGAGCTTCAGGATTCAGGAAGCCTCGGAAGTTGTTTGGGTTTGAAGGTTTGGTACCTGGTTTAGTACCTTAAGAACCCAAACCCCACTTCTTCTTTGTAGAAATCCTCTACCAAAAAAGGTAGGTGTCCGGGGTTCATAAGGTGGGGTGTGAAGGTTGGCTGTTCCGAGGTTTAGTCATGGGTTCCCCTCCTACCCCACTCTATACTACCCCCCTAGGTTCCCCCAGAATTAAGGCTATTTAGGGAGAATCAAGCCGAATTGAGGTTATTCAAGGGGGAACCTGGGGGTAGTATAGAGCGGGATAGTAGGGAACCCCCTGATTCCGAAACCCAAGAACCCTAAACCCTAGAACCCTAAAACCCTAAACCCTAAACCCTAAACCTAAGGCGCCTGCGCCTCGAGGAGATTTTGTGGGTCTCCGATGGCAACGGCCCCTCCCAGATCTTCGAGCGAGAGCTCAGTCAGATGCACCCAAAGGTTAAGGTGATCATCAACCAGGAGTTTCGGGTCTCGGGTTTACAGTTTAGGGCTTACGGTCTAGGGTTTAATTGGGGTTTAGGGTTTAGGGTTAGGGTTTTGGGTGTCACGCCTTCCAAGGTAGCAGTTTGAACGCGAAGAGATCGGCGAGTCAGCAAGGTATCCCCCCTCCCCCCCGAACCCAAAACCCGAAACCCGAAACCCTAAACCCCAACCCCAATGTCCTCTTTGCGGTGAGGAGAACAAGGGCCTCATCGTCACAAAGATGGAGACCGCCGCAGGAGCGAAGGGCTCGGTGCCGGACTTACCTCCCCAGCGTGCCAGTGGTAATATGGGGGGTTTCCGAAATTACCCTAAGGGTCCATGTACCTATATAGTCAATACCTGGGCCCTAAAGCTACTATATGGGAACCCCTTGAAGGCCCAAGTATACACTATATAGGTACGTGGACCCGTAGGGATGGGAGTACCTTATGGGGGTCCTTATCATAAGGGAATCCTGCTTTTTGGGGGTCTATACTAGGGGTCCACTGATTTTCGTAAATCCCCATATGAAGTAGGGTTTACATTTCTTGTATCCCCAAAAGGACACCCCAAATATACACTCACCAGTATTCAAAAGGAACCCTTATATACACTCACCAAAACAGAAATATATACCCTGCTTCATATGACTTCGGTCCAGGAATCTTGCGGGCACAGATTGGCTGCCCTGCAAGAAACGTGCTTGGATGACTCATGAGGGCTGTAGAGTGTATCGAGTTCAGGGTAAACCCTCCAGTGCCCTACACCCTAAACCCTATAAGGTACCGGGCAGTTCGGGGTCCGAAGCTGATGTGAAGGTGCTCATGTTCCTGGAGCCCCACATCGTTGCAACGCCAGGCAAGCGCCGAAACCTTAAGCCCTTCAGCTCCCCAAGATCTATCACTGAAAGTTTTAAAGCCCAAACCCTTTTATCCCCAACCCTGAACTCTTAACCCCCCAAACCCCCGAAGCTCAACTACCCCTAAACCCTAAACCCGAAACCCTAAACCCGAAACCCTAAACCCTAAACCCTAAACCCGAAACCCTAAACCCTAAACCCTAAACGCAGGGTGGCTCGAGCCGCTGCTGCGCCGGCTCGCGGAGGAGCCAAAAGCCCTGGTCATGCCCTTCATGGACCTTCTCGACAAGGAGTGGGTTCCGAGGTTCAGGGTTTTAGGGTTTGGGTTTTAGGGTTAAGGAGGTGAGTTCCGGGATTCAGGGTTCTGGGGTTTAGGTTTGGGGTTTAGGGGGTCACCGAGTTCCGGGCTTGGCCCAGAGTGGCGGCAGCGAGCGGAGGACATGAAGACCTACCAGAAGATGCCTTTCGTCTACTGGCGCTTTGAATGGAATCTCAACCTC